AGAATATTTTCTAAGGAGAATTGGTCTATTTCAAAGAGAAATATGGAGTTATTTTATGATCGTGTCCGGCCGTGTCATTGGAAAGTTTCTAAGTGTAAAGCGCTTGGATGGCTTGGTAATCTGTCGACAGGGTTGGCGAAAAACATCAAGTTCGAAATTTTTGGCTGCCTGGAAGCGCTAGAGAATTGTACATAAAGGTAGAACATTACTACCTCGGAATCTATTAAATCAATGGATTCACCTAATTCCATACCAAATTAAAACGTATAGCATTATATTAAAGATAATTATTTTGACAAGCTCACCAAACTCGTCGGAGAAAACGAAGAAGCTATTCTGAGACAACGTGGCAAGGTAAAAATAACTGACCAATCAGAGGCGCTATTTAAACAAAAGTGGTGGTTCACAAAAAAAGCAAATGACTGCGTTGCATCAAAGTTGGATATGGGCTTTTAAGGCACATTTATGTGTAAGAACTGAAACTTTATAGTGGAAGGATATTTATTTTAATGAAATCAACCTTCCTATGGAGAGTCACCGAGGTTCACTGCTTGCGTAAAACCGCGAGTTGGGTTGGATCTCGTTTCAATGACCGGCCCTTACTGTTCTGCGAACACATTTCGATTGATTAAATCCATAGAAATCACAATGGCTGACAACTGGAGCCAAGGAGAGCTCAAAATTATAAAGGAAACAAAGAGAGAGAGAGAGAGAAAAAAAAAGGGAAATTTAGACTTAAAAGGACGCGCGAAGTTGTGGTTAACTAAGACGTAATTGGTATGCTTTCAGTTTTGGTTTCAGGACCAATCACAGAGCCGGGGAAGGGAAATCGTGATCATCATGATTTCTTTCAACACTCAAATGAAAATCAGTCCATTTGTAAAGCAAATGTATACACTTTTTTCTACCTCGTTACTATAAATAAATAGTCATATGTGATTTCAACTCGTATACATGTCTTTAATCATAGGGCTTGGGATGGGAGACTTGAAACCAGGAAAAAAGTTTTGTTTGTGGGACAAGTTCATAGGCCTTTGACTGGGACTGAGGTTTTTTGATTTGTGTTGTTATAGAACGCAAGTTTAAATCCATCTCATTGGCTAAAACCGTTATCACCTTTTGTAAAGAATATCACCTTTAGCACAGGCGCAAAATATGGATTCAGATGGATTATATGTTCGTAAGGATCGCCATCCTCCTAGAACTTTATTTTACAGTAAAAGCCCCCCAGCACTCGACCGTCTGCTGGTTTCATAACGAAGTCACAAGAATCTCTAATGCAAAATCCATCCAAACAGCCCCCATAGGCTTTTCCGAATCGTATGTCTATGATTAATCACAAAGGAAATGATTATATGATCATATACAACGCATCAGTCGAGCTTCGGTACTGTAGCCGTGTTGAGAGGAGCTTTCTAATGTTAATTTGATTTACATAGTATAAAAACCAGGTAAACTGTTCCCTAAAGATAATCTCTTAGTACCTTACTCTACCCTGTGCAGTAGGGGTAGAAATGAGAACCGGCAAGCTGTCGGGCAAATCTGGTAATTGCCTGAAATTGCTTAATGCTACATGTGGCTGGATACGCTACGGCCGTGGAAAAAAAGCTACCCTCGTTAAAAGCAGCATAGGCCTTTTGCATGTTCACGTCGGAATAATAGTACTAATAATAATACTAATAATTTAGCAGTGGACATTTTACGAGGTGGCTCTTCTTTTCCACTGTTTCCAGGTCGAATTTTAATTTGGAATGTTGGTTTTTGCGGAGGGAGGAAACCTGAAGGCCCAGAGAAAAACCCTCGGAGCAAGGAGGAAAACCAATAGCAAAGTCGACCCAAATGTGACACAAGGTCCAGGAATCGAACACAGGCCACAGCGGTGAGATGGAGCGCTCTCGCCAGCGCGTTATCCCCGCTCCCCAATAGCAATTGGAATTTGCAATTTAGACATAAATACCTCAGCTGAAAGCCTCACTTTGGGTTAATGGAGGTCAACTGAGATGTTTCAATAGAAATCCCCAATATGGAGTTCCTCATCTGCATAGAATCTTTCCTTTTCAATTCCCAGCCTCTCTCAACATCAGTGAGCTGCACGATTATATCTCTCTTGTTGTCGTAAATTCTGAAGGATAATTCCTCCGCCAGTCTTGACTCAGAGAAACGCTGGTTGTCCTTCTCCTCCACTTGCTTGAAAAAACAAATGTGTATGTCGATAAAAAGTTCTTAATCCTTAGTCCGGACCATAGACAGTTTCATCTATACGTCGTCATGAAACATGGCGTCACGGTCCAGCCCCACATTTCAGTCCCCGCATTTTTGTCTCTGATATATGTGGCCGTTGAAAATGTGGGAGATGAAATAGTCAATCATTTTGAAATTGAGTGAATAGATAAATGTGAAGAAAGATGGAACATTGTCCCTGCAACACTGTCTTTTCGTCAAAGATCACAGAAAAAGACGCGCTTCCAGATTTCAGAGGGTAACGCACCATTGCCGGTGATTATTTTAACGTCAAAGTTAGGACTCCATGAACGAGTTTAATTCTGCTTTATTTTAATCATTGCCAAATGCTAAGTTCATCTCATTTTGCTAGGAAAAACCTGTTAGTGATAGCTTAATATGTCTTTAATATTTAAATGCTCATGGGAAATGCTATTCTTTGAAAGCGGGGATATAGAAGTTTTCAAAGCTGATAGAAATAACCTGTTTGCAAGTAATGAAAAGCAAATTGATAATCACACCTTAATGCTTTACATGCTTCACTTATACATGTCAGTTGTGTGTACCTACCATTATAGAGGTCTCTTTCATGAAAAATATTTTTTGGTGCGGCTGTTGTTCTTTGTCGATCTTTGTAGCCAAAAAAGCTACTAAAGGCACCAGACTTCAATTTTTATGCACTCAAGACATCATCCAAGGTGGAAAAATAGATTACCAAAGATTGATGTTTACTTGCACTTACCGTAATCATGAATTCAAGCAATACTCTACATGTATAAAACTGATTACACATTTTTTAATAACTGTACACATTTTACATGCTCCAGGCATTTGTTGGCAACCATAGTTAACACTGTTAGGAAAGCAAACAAACAAATGAACAGAAGACAGTGAATTGAGGAAAACTGTAAACTTTATGAGAGGGAAAAAAAATTATCACAGAATACTGAAGTAAGGAGACTTGAATTGTACTAGCTAATTTCCTACAAAAATAGATGAAAAAGTACTCATGGTGAAAAAAATCATACTGAAGTGGTAGCATGATTGATTTCTAATATTTAGAATGATAAAAGCAGGAAAAATACATGGAGCTTTTTCCTATTCACCAGTAAGTTAATTTTGATTCAAACTGTGTGATATTACATTCATCCTTATCATGCTTCATCATGGGTTGTTTACATGGAAAGGTTATTGTTATTATAGCTTCACAGATGATTTTGTTGCCTTTGCAATCAAAGGAGGCAGGTTATTAAAAAATTGTAACTTTTGATTGAGGAAATTATTTGAATTTGTGAATAGCAGTTGATGTTTTCACATGTAACAGGATGATCAAGCTGAGGACAGCCTCAAAAAGGAGTAAACTCAAATTTAACAATGATATTAAGTAACTTTTTGGAAACTTCAGCACTTGGTAAATACACCTGAGTTGTGTGACCTCTTTTAACGAATTTACTTGACCTCCGGAAATTCTGTCAACATAATCCTTTGTTTTATTATCTAAACTTAAATTCCTGTCATTATTGAAGCTGGAAAAGAAATATTTATTTTTTGGTGAATATTTTTTTCCGAAATACGTTTCCTATGTCGAAAAGTTGCATCAAAACAAAGACAGTTTTAACAATGACCAATATGACATAATCCTCTGAGCTTCTAGCTTTTAAAAGACAAAAAGATGGTTATAAAGATACTGTAAACATTTCTTTGTGTATTTATCTTGTTCTATCGTGAGACGAACTCAAAGTCCGGCAAAATTTACTCGCTAGCGACTATGAAATATACATGGTGTGCCTATCTGTCCCCGCTGTTTACTAGCATAAATCACTACAATTTGTAATAAAATCTAACATAACACTCTTACCTTGTTTATCAGGTCATTTTTTTAGAGTACCGTCTTAGTGCCTCGGGTAGCACATTGAGACAGATACAAGGTGCTTCGTATGCCTTATTGTGCCTTTTTCGCCGCGAAAACTGTCCTAAATGCAGCTTCGTGAGTCATCCGCCGTAAACGCCTAGATTTTGACCATGTGACGTTACATGTCACACGTGTGTACATTATTTCTATTTCGGGGTCGGATTATTCGGATTTTGAGGCCTCGATGGAAGGTAAACATAATGAAAGGGCTTACAAATCTGTTGGCGAAATCAGGCCCTGGCAATTTGAACCGCCAGGACGAACGTAACCTAAAACAGAGCGCGAGAGTCAGAAGAGTGCATTTACGATTGTAAATAAAGTATCTGAAAATCAGTCGCTTATTAAATGTAGGAGCGATCAAGTAAAGAAAACCAGATGTGCAGACTCTTGAATACCATGGGAGTGACGTGTTTTTATGCTACACGCACGCACCTTCCGAAGCTAAGGTTTCACTTACTGAAAATACAAACATACAAAGTTTGGAGGGGAATTTGATGGGTTATACACGTTCACACGCGATGAAATAAGTTTTCCGTGATGAATTTGGCGAACGATTGGAGATTTCTCAGCTTTTACTTGAAAACACGATCTAGCAAAAAATAGCATTCGCGCATGTAGAATTGTAAATTAAGTAAAGTAGCCTAAAGTTTGAGTTATCTCTCAAGTTTTGTAACAGTTACAGAACTGATAACTGTTCGTTTTGGTGAAACCAATCACACAAGTTGTGCTCTCTATTTCTTCTATTCAACATCATGAAAAAAAATTGCTACTTTACTGATTTTTAATTACAAGGTGTCAGTGTGGAAACTGCCAATCAATGTGGAGGGAGGAAGAAAACATCTTTTGCCGAATTTCTTCCAGTCGGTGATGTATATATGTAAGATTTTACATCAGTAACTAACGACGTAATTTCTTCCAGTCGGTTTTTAGGCCGGTAACTAACGGCGTAATTTCGTCCAGTCAGTGGTGTTTGTATGTAAGATTTTACGCCAGTAACTAACGGCGTGATTTCTTCCAGTCGGTGATATATATAATGTAAATTTTACGCCAGTAATATAAATTAATTGTATGTTAATTTATTATAACTATTCTACCCACTGAGAGAATAGCGTAGGATCTTACAGTATAGAAACTGTCTTAGTCACATATTACGCCGTTATATATGTATTTCCTTTTGGCAAGAAGTAGATGTGGTCAAAAATAAAATTTTGGAGGATGTCACGGTGGAACAGTTGCAGGTGGAAGCCAGATCTATTGCCTAATATCCAGGGTTAGAGGAAAGTGGTGAAGGCGGACTTTGTCTGCATTTGTTTTGTTACGAAACATCACTACACAGCGCTTTCCAGATTTTCGTTTTCTTTGTTTTACAGCCTGTTATTTTCCGTCCATATTGTAAATGTCAACACGGCTAAAAGTTGTACAGTTTTTATACATATACATATATATATATATATATATATATATATATATATATATATATTTTTTTTAAAAGTTCAGGTCGTAATTTGAGAAACATTACGTAGCACCGCTTGTTATTTCCGTAGCACGAGTTTGTCGCTGACTCGGTTCCTTTTTTTACCAAAGCACTGCGTTTTAAACGGTGGGTGCAAGGTGGTCCCATGACATGTGCTTTAATGGTTTCCTCTCTCAGGCTGTCAGCTTGTTTTATTTACAATAAACGAGCGTGAGTAATTTACTGCTCAGTCAGCTGACATTGGTACATTTTTGAAACGAGTAACCTTTCGGACAGGATTGATTTCATCATGTTTCCGGTCTCAAATGAGAAACAACGCTTAATTGAGGCTTTTGTAACATCCGTTTACAGCATGCTTCTGTTATTATTCAATTCCATTGGGAAGTTAATTAAACTAAGGCACACGAATCTGCTATATATGCTGTTCAATGTTAGTTGTACTCCTTCCTGGCTCAGCTAGAGACGAAACGCATGGAAAGAAATAAACAGAAAGTTACAATAGTAGGAAGTCTTCCTCTGTGTTGCTCACTTTCTCCGTTAAAAAAAAAAAAAAAAGGGATAAATCTCGTACATTTCCGGAACGTGGAAGAAGAGTTTCATTCACGAAACCAGATGACGACCTCCCATAATGCGCGACAACACTTTGCGTTTAGTCACGCTCACTCTTGAGCTGATGGGCCTGAGGTCACAGTGATATACACCGGACAAAAACTAAAGTCAAATACTTTTCGGTTGGACTAAAAAGCATTTCTTGAAGTATAGGACTCGATAACGATTAAGAGGAAAAAATTATGGGAACATTGTTTTCTTTACAGCTGTTTGGAATGGCGCGCAAATTACCTGTGGCTCCAAATACAGAAATGCGATCCGTCGCGTCTCGATTATTCAGCCTTCGTTATTTTATTTCTAACTTCGTAGTTCGTCGTATCTAAATGGTGGCCTATAACATAATGGAAAAAATATATTTTTTTGCGCTCTGAAATTTCGGCAGCAGCTGAACAGCCGGGACGAAGTTGTTACTTTCAGGTCTTGACGTGACGCTTTTCACTGCCTTACACACGTATGACGTATTACATCAGGTGACCTGAATCGGACTGTTTTCAAAATGGCCGTCGATTAAGCATCAAAAAAAAAATTGTAGAAAATTTAATTTTGCATAATATATCGTTTATTTGCTCATTTGGGATTCTTTAACCTAAGAGGAATGTATTGGGACAAAAGACAAAAACGGAGAAAAGTTTGGCGTCAGTTACCCTAGCTATAAGTTTAGATGATAAAACAAAGGATTATGCTCACAGAAATACCGGAGGTTAAGTAAATTCGTTACATGAGGTCGCACAACTCGGGTAATATTCAAGGTGAAAATTTGCATATTTGAGCGGTCGAACTAAAAAAATAATTTCTCGAAAACTAACATATATTTTCATAAAAACCAACTACACCACATATTGGGCTACAAAATATGAAAGTAGGAGTGAAAGCAAATTTTGAGCGATTTGCCACTGTTTGTCTGATGCATGTTGACATTAGCTCTTAAAAGATGAACGGGTCAGGGCAAATTCTAGTGTTATTTTGCTGCAGGTAAAAAATTGACCAATGATGAAACCAAAGCAAATTCAATAGCTGTCAATAAAACAATTAATATAATGCCAGCAAGGTGAATCTATTTAGGGATGTTATTAATGTGCATTGCGACTAAGCTAGACTGAATTTCCCTTTGGAGTTCTCGAGTGTTTTGTTGACTACAGAAAGTAACGTAAAACTTTGACGATAGTAAGTATACTTAAATTCACTTAGTTTAAAGTTATGTATAGCAGATCCAACTCGTCTCAGTAACATTTTAACCATTCTTTTGTCTTTTAAAAGCTAGAGGTTCAGTAGATTATGTCATATCGGTCATTGTTAAAACTGCTTCGTCGTAATGCTACTTTTAGACAAAGAAAAAGTATGTCAGATATTATTTCTTTGTCAGCTACAATAATGACTGGGAATTAAATTAGATGATAAAACAAAGGATTATGTCCACAAAAATACAGGAGGTTAAGTAAATTCGTTACATGAGGTCACATAACTCAGGTAATATTCACGGTGAAACTTTGCATATTTGAGCGGTTGAACTTAAAAATCATTCCTCGAAAACCTAAATATATTTTCACAAAATAACTACACCACAATTATTAGGACATATTGGGCTACAAAATATGAAAGTAGGAGTGAAAGCAAATTTTGGGTGATGTGCCGCTGTTTGTCTGATGCATGCTGACATTAGCTCTTAAAAGATGAACGGGTCAGGGCACATTCTAGTGTTATTTTGCTGCGCTTTTAGCTGGCGGTGCATTTGATGAAAAAAGTATAAGTTATCTGTTATTGCTGAAGATTGTGGACTTTATATTGAATTCATCGTTCGAATATTTTTCTTCCGGTGAAAAACTCTTAATTTAGAACTTTTTTATTGTCTGCTCCAAGAATTGTTTGAATGTACTAAAAAAAAAAAAAGAAATTGAGCAGAACCTTCAAGAAGAGGACATGCGAATATGGTTGACCTCTGTTCAAGAGAATACTCCAATTACCTGAAATATCACGCCAGACGCCACTGCAGATAGCAAATCGCCAAATTTAGTATTTTCTTTGATGTTGTCTGCTTTGTATGCATAGAAGAAATGTAGAATGTTGTGCACGTAAACTCCCCCGCCCCTTTCCCCACAACCCACTCATGCTGATTTGGAAATCTCTTTAAAAATTTCCTTAAGGACCGGGGAGGAGCTGATGCGGTTTGCTTTCCCACTTTATAATTTTTCCACATTACCAGGACTAAACAGCTCTGCCTACATTTCATGGATCAGCACGAAAATGTAACGTTTGCGGTTATTGACGCCATTCAAAAGGACACAATGTCGATGGATGATAATTTGTGAGCGCCACATACGTAACACAAAGGTTTCACTTGCGTATTCTTCTTTAAGAGTTGAGGGCTGGTTGCGCATGAGCCATTTTTGTTTCTTGCCTTGTCTGCTAGATAACATTTTGACGCTTACATGGAGATCAAAACCAACAGTAGTACTTATTGTATAGATTCTTTTAAAAAGATTTCTACTGTCTGTTCAAAAAAGCTTTATAAAAATCTAATGTTTTGTCCTAATTTTTGAAAAGGACTTTGATCAAAACATTCTCAAAACGTAATTTAAATTCGATTGCTGGGGTAATCACGCCAGGCACGCATGCCTGAAGGTTGCCTTTTCATCCACCTTTTCCTTTAATCAGGGGTGTTAGAATGGTGTGCATATTAGTGCCCCCCACCCACTTTCGCTGATAGAGGAGTTTTTAAGAAACCACCTACAGGACCGGGGGAGGGGTCATATCTCACACTTAAGGTGTTAAAGTAGGAGTGAAAGCAAATTTTGGGTGACTTGCCGCTGTTTGTCTGATGCATGTTGACATTAGCTCTTAAAAGATGAACGGGTCAGGGCACGTTGTAGTGTTATTTTGTTTTGTACAGAAAACAACATATGTTCTTTATTGCAAATGAAGTATGCATACATCACTAAAAGTTTCCATAACTTTGACAACAGTAAATTTGCTTAAATTCACTGACATGAAAGTGATTAGTGGCAGATACACATCGCTTCAAGCGAAAAATGAAGAAGCAAACTTCCCAGACTTCTTATGTCGATACGATATTCGATGTTAAGAGATGAGACGATTATCTGGAGGAGAATTGAGGACTTTTTATCAAGAACCCGGTTTCATTTCCACTATTCCTTCATGACGCATAACCAGCCGCGAATGTAATCCTGCACTGATTACGGCCACATAAGCCGGGAACAGTAAAAATTTTTCCGAATACTTGCAAGAGAAGCCTTAAGGAATAGAAAATCAGTAATTGTGGCAGTGCTTGATGAAGAAGGCGTAAAAAAGCTGCTTGCTCCGGTAGGAGTCTAGAATGTCGAACAGCGTATATGAGAAATTTTGATAACCACTAATAATCAGGTCATAGCGCTTCAAATGTCTGTGCCATTTTTGCGATAGGAAGTGATGGACCGAAAACAACAACAAACTACACTCAACACTTGTTAATATAAAAAATAACTTCCACGTCGCCCTGCTTCTCTTCAGTAAGAAATCACAGATGAAGTTGAAATGTGGTCAGAGAAAAAAAAAGTGGCACACGAAGCGCCGTTGAGTGTGTCACTGATGTTCTTACTAGATTTGTGATGCCATCTTAAATCTATCATTGTTAGGAACCTAAGCAAGTTTTATTACGAATAAATACATTTGTCCTCCAATAGATCGTAAGTAAGAACCAATCACAATGCGTGCGTTTTTTGCCAATGATATATATATAAAAAAAACCCTACGGATACCGTTGCTGCTGGTGAAGCTTTAGAAGGAAGTGATTCTAAATT